CTAGTTCCGAGGGGGCACCGCCTCCCACTGGGGTTGCCACCCTGCCTAGAGGGAGGGCTCGACCCCCTCAAGCTTTTTTTCCCTTCATATTTTCAAACTACGTGAGAGGCCTGGGGGTGTAGTTCAGTGGTCAAGCCCTTGCCTGGCCTGGGCAGGCCCCTGGGTTCCAATCTTGACACTGCACAAATGAACCAAAAACTTGAGAGAGTTTTGGCCAGCAGGTCCGACACCCCACAGGGCAACAGCGGGCTGAGGCTGGGGATGGCAGCCTCTTCATCCTTCCCCGGCCTGACCTGTGTGTGTCACCTGCTGGTCTCTGAAGACTGAAGGTTGAGATACCTGAGAAGGCAGAGCTCCCCAGAAGGGGCCAGGGCACATGGAAAACAGGCCTGGGCGGCTGCCCCACGCCTGGGAGTAATGGCCTCTGAACAGGAAGGAGAGCAGAGCTCAGGGAAGCCACTCCCTGAGGTCACACAGCACTGCAGGGACTTCCTGGCTCCCCTGGAAAATGCTCTCCTCAGCCCATAAGGCAGGAGAGAGATGGGGAGTCCTGGTGCTGGCCTTCCATGGGCTTCTGCTCCACTCCGTGTGGCCTCTGCCCTTCGCGCTGGCTCTGGTCAGAGCTCCCTAGGCTTCTGGTAGAGGGGCCAGAGTTTTGCAGTGGCCGCCCTTGCACTCTTTCTCTTGGTCTTGGCGCCAGCTCCCTCCACTGCCCTGTGCTGTTCAGCTAAGGAGAGGGGAGTCACGTCCTAGTCCCCTCCACAGCTTCCACAGAGTGAGTTCTGCGACTATCTCTGGGAAGGGTCAGGACGGACAGACATCTCTTCTCCAATGACTCATCTCTCTGAGGCAGATGGCAGGGGACAGTAACTGGGATGAGTGGCAGCCACTCCGGCGCCTGCTGTGGACCAGGCCAGCTACGTGTGCAGAAGGCCCCCCTCCCCGTGAAGGTCAGAGGCGGTGTGGAGCAGATGTGGCTGGCGGCTGGTGTGGTGACAGAAGACAGGCCTTGGTGTGAGGGGAGACCCCCCTCCAAGGCCACACTCCCGCTTCCAGGCCGCTAGCCCCTGGCTGGCAGTGAGGTCTCGGTGGCCAGAGCAGCAGGCAGCACAGCCAAAGGCAGCCATTGCCATAGCCCTGTGGGGCCGGGTCTGCCACCCTGTCAGTGTCCCCTTTCAGGGCAGGACACACCCGTAAAACCCACCTCATCTCATCAGCAAGAAGAAAGAATGCCTGGCTTTAGAGTCATGTGTTTTTGGATTCACAATGAGCCTTAGCCACCTGCAAGCTGTCACTGCTCTGGGCCTCAGTTTCCCTTCTCTGACGAGGTCTAGGCTGCGCGTTGGATGTGCATTATTTGCTAATGTTTCCATATTACCAAGGTTCAGAGAAGGGGTGCAGCCTGCCTACTGCCCCACAGCAGTTAGGGGTGGGTGCTGTGGTTTGGGGTTTCTACAAGGGGAACAATATAACATAGGATGCATTTTAAAAGATTATTTTACAATGAATCACCCAAAGAATCATGTACAAAGAGTGCAGGAAGTCTGTCTACACACAAAGACTGAGGAATCAAGCTGAGGGCCTGGATCCTAATGTCCTACATGAGTCAAGCGAAGACCTAGAGCCCATGACAACGCCTCATGCAGGTGTGCTGCGCTGCGAAGACCCCAAGGTCAGTGGTGGAAGCCAGAGTCGGTGCCAGCCGGATGAAGGATCTGTGCTACCAGGCTGAGGGATCTGAACTACAGCCAGGAAGTGACACTCAAGGCAAGAACGGAGCTCCCTGGCAAGGTACCACCGCCATCCTCAGGGACGATGAGGTCCCAAGCTCCTCCAACAATGAGGAAAGCCGAGTGCCCATCAGGAAAGCCCAACTGACAAGCTTCTCCAGGAGGCTAAGCAGTGCACCATCTTCCTCCCTGGAGCCAGGAAGCGATACTCAAGGTGAGGACCAGAGCTCCCCCAAAGTGACCTGCAGCCATCCTCAATGACAATGAGATCCTGAGCTCCTCCTCTGATGAGAACAGCCGAGTTCATCAGGAAAGCCAGCATGGCAGCGTCCTCCATGGGAACCAACAGCTTCCTTAACAGCCAACCAACAGCAATAGTTCCGCCTCTTACGCTGCTAGCAACAATCCTCAGGTGGACCTCCCATGCCCAGCATGACCCCGGCACAGTTTCAGCTGAGTGTTTGAAGTTAACCATCAGTTGGCTGTCTACCACAGTGGGGCACAAGACAGCCAGATCTATCTAAGCCACAGCCACAAAATGCCAGCCACTGGGAGCACTGAATGAAGACACCATTTCTATGAATGGAGATGCGGAGACCCAGAGAAGGCAACAGGCCTGCCTAAGGTCACACAGCAAGTCATTTTGCCCTTTCTTTTGGTTTTCTCCTCCCCCTCCCTCTTGTCTAGATCTTGCTTATCTACTTTCTCTGACAAATGCTCACCCACCTCTCTGGGGCATAGGAAGGCATCAGTGAGAGGCACTGTGCTTGGAGTCCAGAGACTTGTGTGTTAGGGCCTAATGTCTGCACCTGATGACCGTGTGACTTGAAGCAGGAGCTTGCTTTCTGGGCCTCAGTTTCCTCATATGTGAAATGGGCCTACACCCTTTTTTCTTGAGCTTGCTAAGAATATGGGGTGGGGGGAAGAGAGTCCAAAGCCAGAAGCCAGCACATCCACAAGGTCAGCAGCAGCTCTGATGGGTCATCTTGCTTCTCCGGGGTCTCACCTGGTTCCTGGCACCCGTAGGTATGCAGTTAGTGTTTGCTGACTGAACAGTGCTCATAGCTAAGGGGCAGGCTCTTCCCCTCACCCCTGGCAATAGTGGGGAGGGGGGCTCCTTTCTCTAGGAGGCCAGGTGTATCCATCTGGGGCAACCTCTGTTCCCCACCACCCTTCAGCATGCAGGTTCAGCCTAAGAGATATAACTCATCTGGCAGGAGCTTGGGCTGGGGCTAAGCAGGAGGGTCCCACCCATTGGCCCTAGGGCAGGTTTGAGGTCATACTGAGCCTCCCTGCAGGGAGGAAGGTGGAGGTAGTTTGGGAGGAGAGAGCCCCTTCCTCTCCCTTAGGATGCACCCCGTTTCTGCCCCCACCCCACTATTTGCAAAGCCCCAGGAGAACCCAGCTGCTGGAAGGAGTCCATTCTCGGCAGCCTTGTTTATCCCTTCATGAGGTTTACAGCAAGAAAACCCTAAGTAGATGGAGGGCTCTGGCTTGACTTCCAGGTCATGCGAGTGCCCAGGCCCAGAGCCCCGGCCTCCAGCACGAAGCCTGTGCAGCAGGGCTCCATCCACATTGGCCAGCTTATCCTGGACCCCAGAGACTGCGCCGTTCAGACCTCCAGCACAGGACGTTATGTCCTCCAGGCCAATAGGGCTTCAAGCCAGGCAAGTCACCGGCCCTGTCTAAAGGCCCTCTGCTTGTCTCCTTCTCCAGAGTATCAGACTAACTCAGACCTACGATCCAGGGTACTATGGCACCAGAGGTCTTGCAGGCACAATTGTCAGCAAACCCAATGTGACCCCATACTGTCATTTATAGTCCTTGTCCTCTACAGCAAGACTCTGCATACCTTCTACAGATTTGGGGTGGCTGATGCTGTCTAGATATCACTGGGGAAAACATCAGGGCTGCTGCCCCCAAACCCACAGCATCCTCGACTCCAGGCTGCAGCTGGGCCTAGGGATGCAGGCCAGGGCCCCCCCCCCCCCGTATGCCCACCTCACCACCTACAGGCTGGACAGCAGCTGCCAACCAGCACCTTTGCCAAGAACAAGGCTTCTCAGTTTGGGCTGCTCCTCTGAACCACGCAGTGAAAGCAACACTGCCCAGGCTGCACACCACCTGCCTGGGTAGCCCTGCATTCAGAGGAAATGAGGCTCAGCAGCCAGCACAACCACTGCCCCTGTGTGCAGAGCTGGGCCAGGCCCCGCAGGCTGAAGGTGGGCTCCAGGGTCAAACCATCTGTCTTAGTTGTTCCTCTCGCTGCTGGGACAAAATGCCTGATGCCCAAAGTTAGAGGCAAAGTTTATTTAGCTCAGTTTGTAGAGGTTCTAGTCTACAGCTGGCTGGCTCCAAGGCTGGTCGGCACATGGCAGAGAGGCATTGTGGAGGAGAAAGAGTTCATGGTGGGCAGAAGGTAGCAAAGCAAGCAAGGGACAAGAGCTTCTTTCTGTTCCTTATGTTGTATCTGGCTGTGGGAGTTAGGGCAGTGCTAAGCCAATCAGTGGATTAATTCAGTAATCAGACACCCTTATTCCCAACATCACATGCTCTGAAATCCCCACTGTGATGGCATGAAGCCTTGGGGAACATCTGGACCCAGGCCGCGACACCACCTGAGCTTCCATTCTGCCTCCAACGTGGCGCAGCCATGCAGCCTGGGCCAAGATACTTAGCCTCGACGAGCCTTCATTTCCTGATCTGTAAACCAGGGAGGAGACTAGCAGTCACACTCCTGAGTCACGATTAAAGGACAGGATGGAAGTGCAGTGCTCAGACACGCTGGGCCTGGTCTGCATAAGCGCTCCTCAGTCTACTGTTTGAACAATTATTTGTGAAAGGCACAGGCTGGGAACCTCGACACTGGGGCCCAGGTGGGCGGGCTGTCCCTCCCATCACTGTCACACTCCCAGGCAGGGCCCTGGGCTGGGCAGGGCATGGGGCTGCAGCTCAGCCTCTGCTCTCTGGCCAGTCCATCCAGGCTAGTCTGTCTGTCAGCGCCTGACACCCTCCTGGTGAGGACGCCGGGGAAGGCACCAGCTGCCCCCTAGTGGCCAAGGGCAAACATGCACAGAGCAGTGTCTCCCACCCCTTACAGACACGTGGCTCCCAGGGTTTCTGTGGGCAACACACTAGCCACGGACATTTTCCATGCATCGCAGTTATAGAGGCCACACTGATGGGCAACAGAAAGTCCAAATGGGACCAGGTGGGCACCAGGCCCTTGGGCAGTGAACACAGGCTTATCTTGAGAAGAAAGGGGTGCCTCGGTGGTGCTTGTGACATGAGAGCTGGGGGCTAACCAGTCCCATCTGGGAAAGCAGCCTAGTGTGCCAGGCATGACAATCACGGCCCGGCTGCAGGGTCTCCACACCTATCAGCATGGCCCATGTGGGAAAACCCAGCCCATCGCCAAGATGCACACCAGTGACCCAGCCCTCACTTCCATTCCTCCTTAAGGCTCCCACCTGCAGAAGGAGCCAGAAGGCACAGGGGCCTAAGTCCTCCAACCCTGGGCTTTCCCGACAGGGGCGAAGCTTTGTTTATGCAAGTTCTTTTTATTCCCATCAGTCACCTTTGCTGCCAACTACTCTGGCTCAGGGAGAGTCAGCCCACATCCCTGCAGCCTTCATTCTGCCTGCCTCAGCTGAGGACAGCGGAAGGCAAAGGCCATGGCCCTGGGGTGGGTGGAGGCAGGTGGGAGGTCAGGCCACAAAAGTGCTCAATGGCCGACACACCAGGGGTAGGACAAGGGCCGAGGGCCAGCCCGCTGGGTCAGGAAGGCTTCCTGGAGGAGGCAAGATGGGCTAGGCCCCGAGGCTGGTGAAGCGGGAGGCAGAGGGAGAGAAGGCACACTGTGCTGGGGCCAGATGCACATGCCCATAGCCAGGCTGGAGAGACTGAGGCGCAGGCAGGACACAGACAGATGGAGCCAGGACAGCCCCCGGGGCTGTCAAGGAAGCCCCGCCCAGCCTGGCTCTGCAGTCTCAGGGGACCCCCTGGAAGTTCTGCCACTGGGACTCGGGCACAGATAGGAGGAAGGGTGTAAAGAGGGGCTTGGAGGCCTCTGTGCCAGTGTCAGGAGCCGGGTGGTGCTGGTCCATGTGGAGGCAAACTCCACATCCAGGAGAATCTGTGGGGCGGCAGCATCTGTGTTCGACTCAGAGGCCACCCAGGGCCTGGCAGACAGGGCCGGGCAGGGAGGAGGCCAAGTGCACGGAAACACCAGGGGCCCCGATGCTGGTCTCCCAGCAGTCGAACCTGCAGCTGGTCAGCGCCTGTTTCGCAGCCTCCACTTCAGCCCGCTCCAGATCTAGAAGGCAGGTCACCAAGATGGCTGTGAGTTCCCGGCTGAAGGGATGCTCCAGCCACCCCAGGGAAAGGCCTAAGGGGACCACACCTTGCCAACAGGCTGGCAGCTCAGAGGCTTCCTGTGGCCCCTACGCACTGGGCATGCAGGGTTCTGTGCCCACCAGGGGTTGGGTGCCAGTTAAACAGAGGCTCTTGGACCTGGTGTCATGTGGACCTGGCCTTGCTACATACTGGTCACGTGGCTCTGACAAGTGGCCTTCCTCTCTAAGCCAGTCTCCTCCTGAGGGACAAGGGTCCCAAGCCCCATCCGTAGTCACCAGGAAGCTGAGATGGGCAGCACAGTGCCAACTCTCACTGGCATCACCAGCCCCGAGCAAGAATCAGTGCCAGAGCCTGGGAGCGTGGCTGCCTCCAGAGGCTGAGGAGTCACGGCCGGGGGCAAGGGTGTGCTGAAGTTCCCTGGGGCTCAGTGTCAAGTGCAGGGAAATAGAAACGTGGAGGAGAAGGGCAGAGGAGTGGGGGGGGGAGGGTCGGCAGTCCTGAAGGCAGACGTGGTGCTGCACAATGACACACCTGCCACGTTCCTGTGCTTTCTCCCCAGAGGCCTCCAAGAAAGCAAGCCCTTCATTCTGTAGCAAGAGCAAACCATCCTGGCTGCACTGTGAGGGAGTGGGCAGGGAGGTGCGGGAGACTGAAGAGTAACATCACCCTTATAGGGCTGGGGAGGTAGTCCTGAGTTCAATCCCCAGTATCAGTCAGTCAATCAATCAATTAATCAATGCCACTGTTGCACTACCAGAGAGGAAACAAAAGCCCAGAGATGGTAATTAACTTGCCCAAGGCCATGCTGCAGAGCTGAGACCTGTTCCTGGGCCTCTGCCCCCTCCCCAGGAGAATCTTCCAGGTGGAGCCTTCCTGCAAGTCCCCTGGCCACCCCCACTGCCCCAATACCTGGCCTCAGGAGTGTGATGCCACAGCCACCGCCACCCGCACCAGTGAGCTTGCTGTGCAGTCCAAGGGCCGCAGTCACCTGGCAGAGCTGGTCCAGACAGGTGTGGCCCACGCCAAGGGCGTTCAGGTGGTGCTGGTTCATGTCGATGAGCTCCTATGGGAGAAGGGGCTGTGTGTCCCCTCTTGGCCTGCCTGGGCCCCAGCGCCCCCCATGTCTGCCCAGCCTGCGTGGCTGTAGATGTGGACTGGCTAGTGCTCTGTCTGTCCAGCACACATCCCTCTCCACAGGTGAAAGGACCCTCCCTTCTGCAGGACCGCCCTTGGGACTTGGAAGGCGGAGCTCACCCTCCTGCCCTGGTGGAATCCTGGTCCTGGCCCTGATCGAGAAGGCCCTGTCCCTTGTGACTGATCAAGCGTGGGCAGGAGACCCCGAGCTGGGCCAACCAGGGCCCTCCTGGGCCTTTTCTGCTTTTCTTCCTCAGCAGCTGCTGGAGTTTCAGGCCCAGGCGGCCCAAATTACCTGCCCCACCACAGGGTCACACCATGAAAGATGGATTCTCAACCACTGGACCAAACTATGCCTGAAGCTGTTCTCTCTGCCAAAATACTCCTTTTCTGCAGAAGCCTGGGTGAAATAAGACTTCTGCCATTTGAAAAAAAAAAATGTGTCAAATAATATACCATCCCACAGCTGCCTCAGGGATAGATGTTCTGCGTAGGAACTGGGTTATATTCCCAGCAAGGTCATGAGTAGAGAAAATAGCTAAATATTTGTCTAGGTTTCTTTAATTATGCATAATGAAATTCCTGCTTTTCAAGGTTCAAACAAAGCGCATGCAGATGGAATAATAAAACCAACAGCTACCACTGCCCAGCATCCACTGTTTACATCTCGTTCACCAAACACACATAGCACCAAGGATGAGCACCCACCAGGCCCTGCTGGGAGGTCACGGGACAGGCTTGGCAGCCAGCAGGGTGGGCTTTGGGCCTTAGCCCTGTCCCTTCTTGGTCCTATGTCCTTAGCTATGGTCCTTGGCTCTGTTTGAGCTGGAAATACGGCCACAAGAGCACCTGTCTGCCTCATTACCGAGAGGAAGAAATGAGGTGGATCTTTTATACAATGTCTGCTGCAAGCGGCAAACACTCCCTGCTATGAGGATTTTCACGGGTATGTTACCATCAACCCCATCTGACAAAGCGAGAAACTGAGACTCACACCCAAGAGCCTGAGGTCACGGAGCTAGGAAGGAAGGCAATGGAAAAGCGAAGTGTGGCAAAGCGCTCTGCCTGACATGGAGCTCCCCTCTACCTGCCCTTGAGAGCACCCCCGGTGTCCCTGCCGCCACCCACTTCCTCGGGAACAAGTGGGGCTTATGGTACATGGCTCAACAGCGCAGGGCTCCACTCCAGAGCAGCGGAAGGTCTGCGTGTGTGGTGCCCATCACAAGTCATCTCTGCCGAGGCCGATCAGGTGTTCTTGCCCAGAGTTGGCTGACCACCTCTGCCCCCTCACCCCAAGCCCTCCTTTCTCCCCCAGCACATCTGACAAATGAGCAGACGGGCTTGATGGCCGGGTGGCAGCCCTGGGTGCGGCTCCCCAGCCCGGTGGGCTGCGTGTGAGAGAAGACTTCTGGGGGCCTCGCTCTGCACCCGAGCGCCAGGTGTCATGTTGCTGAGGCAGGTTCCAGACACCTGTCACATTCTGATCCAAAATCTGTCAAGGATCAGATGACAGGCTGTGACACGGGAGAACAGCTCGCTGGTTTGAGTGCAAAGCTGTCCAGGAGCTGAGCTGCACATTTCAGTGGCTGCCATCGCCAAAAATACACACAATGTATAATCAACGTGCTGCTCCGTAGCATTCTCCGGGGGCTCAACAGGGTATATTTTAGGCAGTACTCTATCATTATTAATTTCCTACTCCGGGGGACACGTTCCCTCCTTTCTCTGCAGGGGGAATCAAGAGCCAAGGCAAAGGCTGGGGAACGGAGGCAGCCAGCTGGGAATGAGGGCCAGAGCACTGGGACCACAGCAGGGCCCTGCACCCGCACACAGTAGGTGCTCATGGGAGAGGTGTGAACAAGCCAGGTGTAGTGGAGCATGCCTGTAACCCCAGCTACTGGGGAGGACGAGGCAGGAGGATCACAAGTTTGAGGCCAGCTTGGGTAACTTAGTGAGATTCCCATCAAGAGGTTGGGGATGTCGCTGAGGAGTCCTCAGGTTCAACTCCCACAGGAGGGGAAAGAAAGTCTGTCAGCGTGACTCACTGCACTTACTCACTAGACAACCTAGGAAGAAGTCATTCTCTTTAGGCCTCAGTCTTTACAACTGTAAAGTGGGGAAAACATGCTTGTGTCCCAGGCTGGCTGCTGTGGGGAGCCACAGAAAAATCACAGGTAAAAGGCTCAGTTCACTGGCAGCCTCCACGTGGGATGGGGACTGGAGACTCAAGGGCCTCGGGGGAAGGGGCACACAGGCAAGGACTGCTGCAGCCAGATGAGGCAGAGCAGTAGGGACGGTGGGGAGGCAGGGACCGCAAGGCTCCTTTGGGAGTTCTGGGAGATGCTGAGTAGTGCGGGCAGGAGACTTGCCCTGGGCAGCAGCACGGCACGCAATGGGTGGCCTGGTGCCTGTGCGTGCACACTTACCTCCAACACGAGGTACTGCTCCAGGGCCGGGGCTGTTGCCATCTCTGCCAGCACGCGCTCACATTCCCGGGATATGGCATCTATTGAGGTCAGGAGTGGGGCCACTATCTCTGGGAACTGCAGGGATAGGAAGGTAGGCCATGAACCTAGGGGCAGGCGCAGGCGCAGGCGCAGGCGCAGGGGGACCCTGGACAGCAGCCCAGCAGTGGAGGGGAGGGAAGAGTCTCCCCAGCGACACCTGTCCTGAGGAAAGCCTCCTGGCAGCCTGGCCTTTGTCCTGCTGCTGTTTCTGACACCAGAAAGGGAACCTTTGCTACCAAGCCAGCATGACAAACAAGCCTGACTGCTCTTATATCGGGAATCCCATCCTGCCTTCTGCCCAGCACATGGGAACACAGTACCTTCTTTTCTGCCCAGACTGCCTCCCCAAGTTTCCCTGTCCCTGCCACCCCAGGACCCATCCATAGCCCATCAGCTGGCCCGGGGGGGGGGGGACTGGGAATATTAAACATGGCTCCGGCCCGCCCTACGTGAAGTCTGCCCAGGAAGGAAAGAAGAAGCACCTTGATCAGCCTGTTCCTGACGCCAGCCACAAGGGCCTTGGTGCTTCGGGGGATCTTGGTGTTGGTCAGCAGGATCTGGAGAGCCGGGGGCCTGCAGTGAGAAGAGGAGGCAGGATGGAGGCGCTGGATCAGGCCAGGAAGCGCTGAGACTCCACCCACCCTGATACAGAGGAGGAAGAGGACAGCAGAGGGAACCAGCAGAGCGTATCAGCAGCCACAGCTGTCCCCATCTGAGTCCCTGTGCAGGGGGACATGGTCCCTCAGCCCCACTCATTCATGCAGTGTTAAAGGGGTAGCTGCCATGCGCCTGGCACACCGAGGGAGCCCAGCTCAGCCTGAGGACTGGGGCTAAGAGAAGGAGAAGGTCCTCGAAGGCTTCCCATGAGAATGGAGGAAGGCCAGGAAGCACCAGGCAAAGGCAGGAAGCACAAGTACCCCCAGCAGGGGAAGGTTGAGTGCAAGCCCTGAAGGAGGCAGGCAAGGGGGCTGAAGCCAGTCCTGTGGCCTGTCCAGGGGCCTGGACAGAGGGTACTGGAGAGCAGAAAAAGGTGCAGCTGGGCCTGGGACGGCCTAACATGGGGCCTGGGGAGATATCCGACCAGCCTGTGCCATGCTGGGAGGGATCCCTGCTCTGGAGTGCTCAGCAACAGTCGGGTGTCAGGTTAGAAAGGTTCTGGGTTTCGGAGCATCTGCATGAACTTTACTGGCCAAGTGGCCCTAGTTGGAAGGCAGATGAGCCCAGAGAGAAGGCAGGATGGTAGAGAATGGCTCCGTTCCTGTCCTTGCTTAGCAGTATCCAGGCACAAAACCAGATGTGGGTGTGGGGGAGCTGGAGCTGGGTACTCTTTTGTAAAGCCACAGGCCCCACTGTCCATGGGCTGAGCTGCCTCTGGGTTTTGTGGGGCAGGCGCCACAAAAGCCCCCCACCCCCATCTAACCCGTTTTACAGAGTGTTGCAGGCCAGGGCCAGATGATGGAGAATTTGGATGTGCCCTGGCCCAAGACAGCTGGAGGCGCAGACCCCTTGACACCTTTATGCGCGCTCTCTTCACAGCTCAAGATTGTAAAATCCAGCAGGGCTGGGAAGGGCTGCCGGAGACCTGCTTTATCTCACCGCCCATAAGCCCATGAAATTAATATCGATTCTCAGCCTTGGAGGCCGGCTCTCTTTTTCCTTTTTTTACTTTACAAAAGATGAACATTCTATTTGGCTTTTCTCTTCCCTTTCAAGACAAGCTGTTGCTCAAAAGGGCAGCGTTCTGGGAGGCCACATCTTGATCCACTTCACAAACAATGCGTTTTTTCATGGAGACGCACTGTGCGTGCTTGGTGGGGGGGAAGGGCCCCTCTTTAAGCCATCCGTGGGATTAATGTGGAGCGGGCCTCTGGGCTTCTCCAGGGACCTGCCATCTGCTCACAGTGGGGCCCTGCAGCAAGCGGCAAAGGTCACTTTGCTCTGTTCCCACCCAGGGGGTGTGGGGGGGAGGGGCTGTGGTCGCATCTTCATCTTTCTCAAACAAGTCCTCCATGAAAGGGCCTGCCGCCTGCCCCACAAAACCCAGGCTCCAGTGCCATCCTGTGACCCCGCTTCAGGGATCTGCCCTGGAAGCACTTACATGAGCAGGGCCCAGCACCCCCGACCTCACTGCCTCTCCTCACTCCCCCAGCACACACCACTCAGTCATCCTCCTCCCTGCTGCCTCTCCTGCCCCAGGACCTTTGCACTTGCATCTGCCCTGCGACTCCTCCCGTAGCCACGACTCATTTTTATTTCATCAGGTCGCTGCTCCAACACGCCCTCCACAGAGGGCCTCTGCGCACCCCCTCCAATCACCTTCTTTCACTCTTTGCTTCCTGAGGACACTGCCACTTCCTGAGAGACCCTCAAAGGCTGGCTGTCTCCCTAACAAATGAGTCCTGTGTGGACAGAACCCTCTCTTGTCCCCTCTGAGCACAGCAGAGTTGGTGCTTGACAATGTCTGGGAACAGATGAATGAATTGGTCAGCAAACACCTAGGCACTCCGGGTGCTATTTCTGATAATATAAATGAGACAATGGAGGCTGCGGCAGAAGTGACCCAGCCAAGGGCGCCGAAGGCAAGTGGCAGGGGCACGGCACAAATTGCGCTGGGAATACTACAGCTCTGCCTGTCACTACAGGGACAGGCAGCAGCTCAGTCTCCACCGCTCAGCTCCTGCCTCCTCATTACGCTACTTGCTGGAAGCTGGCTTCCCCTCCAATGCTTAGGGTACAACTGGCTGCAGGGGCCCTGGAAATGCAAGTGCCTCCACCTCCCTCCAGGAGCCCCACATCCAGCCCCCTGCTGGCACCTACTGCAGCTTTGGGACCCTCCGCTGCCTTATCTCTGAGCCTCCCCGCTTGCTCATGTGGACACAGGCCAGCTGGCAAAGCTAACTCCAGGGGCCAGGGCACCCCTGGCCATGACCCGACTCAGGCAGGCAGAGGAAGTGAGTGCAGCTCCTGAGTGGTTCTGCTTCCCTGTGAAGAGCAGAACTGGTGTTCAAAGGATCTGGCCTTCCAGGGGACACTGAGCAAGGTTGGGAAGCGGTTTTGACTGTCTCAGATGAGGCGGTCTACCGGCTTCAATGAGCAGAGGCCAGGGATGCTGCTGAACATCCTCTAACACACAGGACAGCCCTGCCACAATGAATGATCTGGTTCTCCATGTCACCAGCAGCGCTGAAAGTGAGAAAACTGACATGAAGCCAGAGAAGGGAAGACTTAGCTCTGGGGAGCCAGCAGGGCCAGGATGGGAAGTTCCTATAGGGTCAGACAGGGGCTGGGCGGGCATTATCACGATCCAGATGCTAAGCCACTAATAGGTCCAGCTGCCATCTACAAAAGATGCCCTAGGGCAAAGACGCCAGGGACAGTGCCAGACCCTCCCAGACACAGAGGCCCACTGAGGCAGAGAAGTGCCCAGGGTCAAACACTGCCACCCAGTATGGAACACCAAAAAGGTCCCCAACTCTCTCTTGGTGCAAATTTAATTCCTTGCATCTGACATTTCTAACACAGGTACAAACAGAACTGAGGATGCTAATGTCTAAAATGCATACCTGCCCTGTTAGCTCCGGAGGGTGGTGGGCTGTAGAAACACGCCAACCAGGCCAAGCTTTGCCAAGCTGCCCCTCTGCACTAAGCTTCCCACAAGTGGGCTTGGCACTGCCTTGCTTTGTGAAACTCCATGAAGGCGATGATCACATCGTGCGGCTGCGGCTTTTGTATGCCTGTCTACCCTGCTTCCGGGCCTCGGGCACAGGAAACCGTCCAAGGTCCAGCTCTACATTCCTAGGCCCCAGATGTGCCATGAGGAACACAGGAAGAGACCACTAAATGAAGAGACAAATGAGCACACCGACGAATCTGTAGCCAGGGCCTGGGGACAGGTGCTTTCTGGAAGGTGTAGGGATGGCCACACATGACTCCCCTTCAGTCTCCCAGTAACTTAAGAGCTGGTGTGGTGGAGAAAGGGCAACTGCCAGGTCTTCACCGAGTTGGGTCCGCAGAGCCAGCACAAGGTGGCGAAGGCTACAGCAGGGTGGCAAGCCCAGGGACACCTGCCTCAGTGGTGTTCTCCCCCGACCTGTGGATGTGACTGCTCTCCCACAGTTACCTGTTTAGGCATGAAATCTTCCCCTGCTGGTATCGGAGGGCTCCTCCTAGAGAGAACAAGGAGCCAGTCAGGGAGGAAAAGCTCTGAGAAGGGGCTGGACTCTGGGTTGGGCCACTGTGTATTGGGCCCACAAGGAAACAGGCCAAACAACATTCCCAGCTGCAGGCAGGAAGGGCCTTGAGCCTTGTGAGGAGGCTCGTACCAGGCCTGGGCTCTTGGGTGCTCTCCTCTCTCCCAACTGCCCCATTTCCCAGCACCAGGCCTTGTGAGGTCAAGTGTGGGCTTGTAAAGTGTGCAGCAGCAGCTTGGCAGCTTAGCGGGCAGACCTCCCCAAGGCTCAGATGCTTATCCATGCCCAGCCCCAGAGGCTAAACCAGGGGGTATGTGCTAGATCCCTGAGATTTCACCCTTTTCCTCAAAATCCACTGGTGCCATGCATCCCAAGCCAACAAAGCCAGAGTACCTATCAATGAAGTAAGACTCCTCATAATACAAAGAAAGACCGCAGGCCCACAGCACACCTACCCCAGGTGCTGATGGCATTGTCCACACCAGAGGGGTTCCCGTGGATCACCCTCTCCCCACGGAGGGCCCACTGGTTAATTAACTCCAAATCCTCCTCAGGCCACCTGCAGGCACAGAAATACATCTTTATCTTGGTAGTCATGACGTGGGAGTGGGATTACCTCAGGCAGCAGAGGGCAAGGGCTATAGGCCGAGTGTGGTAGGGAACGGAGGCAAAAGGCTGGCCCCATAAGCTCAGAGGAAGTGTAGTGGCCGACAGCCTCTCAGCTCAAGGAGTGCCACACCTCCTCTCCTTCCTTCCCAAACTGCGCTGTGTAGGAGAAAACACGGGGGCTTTCAGGTGACACAGTCCTCCTTCATCTCTTCCTCTGTGCCTGTCACCTGGTCTCTCTGGACCTGACTTTCCTCAGCAGGGAAATAGTTAACCCCACCCTCCTCTGAGACAGTGTGTGTGCCTGTGTGTGTGTGTGTGTGTGTGTGTGTGTGTGTGTGTCTAAGGCTGGCAATATCCCTATGAGGTATCCACGTGAGGGAGGTGGGAAATGTGCCTGGAAGGGACCTCTCTGGAGGGTCCAGCTCCCAAGCCAAGCCTGTGCTCAGGAAGAACAAACCGAGGGGAAGATGCTTCCCAAAGCCCCAGCGGCAAGGCTAAGGTACACTCATTACAGATTTGAGCTCCGCGGGGCCAGGCTGACAGAGTAGTCCCCAAGTCTCTTGGAAGCACCAAGTGTCTTCTTCGGAGCAGCCACATTTTGGCAGTGCAGCTTTGGGCAAGTCAATTAACCACTCTGAGTCTCCTTTATCTATCCAGGGAGAACTTCAGGGCCCTACAACTCACCCAGCAGCTAAAGGGCTGCAACCAAAACCAAGTTAACCCTAGTTAATGTTTAGCACCAGGTACACAGCTTAGTGCTGAACACTTTCTCAGTTGGACCAGCTCCATCACTGTTACCAGAGCCCCACAGGGAATGTGTGGCTATAAAAACTCTTCACACAGAAGGGGAAACTGAAGCTTGGGGGGTACAACAGCCACAATGGTGCTCACAGCCACATCAGAACCACACAGGTCTGAACCACTGAACTTCGCAATACTCATGAGATTTATTCATTCAATACCAACTGAGCCATGACTACCCTATGCCTGTACCTACGCTCATGGCAGGGGGAACAGCCATGGCTCTGGCTTCCCGGAGGCTGGAGTCTCATTGCGAGGGTGAAAGTTAGTGAGCATGGAATGCCACAGCTCAGGTAAGTGCAGACAGCTGAGTGGAGCACTCTGTTCTCTAACACGGAGGAGGCCTGGGGGTGAGGGGAGACAGCCAGGCATATGACTGGGATGGCCTGAGGCAACGCACCAGCTGGTGCAGGGCCTGGGACTGGACACAGCTGGCCCTGTCCAGGAAGCAAAAGGTGGCACTGTGCCACGGAAGAGGTGAGTGATGGAGGAGAAAGTCCAGCAGTTATCAATCAAGCCCAGTCCTGGCCCTCCACCAGGGTGAGGTTCCTTCTTTAGGGGCTCAGCCCCAAGCCTTCACAGGACCCTGGGCTTGAAAATGCCAGGGAACAGGTAGGGCAGGGGTCTGCTCCCTGCACAGGGCCTGCAGAGCAAGTGGGTGCTCGGGCAGGTGGGAAAACTGGCCAGAAGCGACATGAGAGCGAGCACATGGCCACACTACACACAGGCACACACGGAGCAGTTCTCTGCTTTTTGAAAAGCAGAGCCAGGTTCTTGGTCCTCATACAGGGATCCATTCAGGAGACTTGGGCCAGCAGGTTGCCACTGCTCTGGGCTATAGCTAGGGATCAGCCCACAGTAATGAGCATCCGTCTCTAAAGTGCTCTCCTGAGTCAATGCCTCATCCCAGCATCACCAAAGAGCAAGGCCGGAAGGGTCCCCAAGAAGTCATGGGTTGGGGCCCTGACTTCCTGATGAGGAAATGGAGCTTCAGAGAGAAGAGGTCACCCAAGGCCATGCAGCAAGTTAACAGGCAAAGCTTCTGCAACGCTTCGCGACAGCAGCCTGGCACTACCTGGGGCACAATCTCTCACGCTTCCTGACTCCTCCCTTGACCAACAGTAGCTTCTACTGCATATTCCAAGCCACCTCTTACACACAGAGCCACTCAGAGCTGGTCTGGGGAGCCCACAGACCTGGCCTGTGGGGATGAAGGCAGTCCTGGGACTCAGGCTGAGACCAGCTGTTAACTCCACCTATAGGTCTCCAGAAAGGAATTACCAGATGTGACAGGGACCAACAGAGCCAGGGGAAACAACCGTAGCATTTTCATGCCTAAGAAGAAATAGTTCAAACCGAACTCAGGTGGACAGAGCTCTTCAACCACAGGCCAGAGTGCTGCTGGTCACGGAGTCTGGCTGCCTCTGTGCCCTGCTAGGGTCCATGAGGTGGTGACAAACCTACGTTCAGGCTGGCACCCAGGGCCATCCGAGCAGCCTTCATGGATGCTGGCTTAGCGGGGAAACAGAAGAGACCAGCAGCTTAGCTGGAACAGCACAGCTGAGCTCCACATGGCTGGTACCACAAGCTCCCCAGTGGGGTGGATCACCAACCCCAGTGACATATGCCCCTCAGAGAGGCTTCACAGTGAGGCTGCCAGGGGACTTCTGTACACCCCCCTAATGCCACAGGCTCTGGGTAAACTACATAGCCACTCACATTGGGAGAGTTCTCTTGGAGAGTCCACAGGTGACAGAAACAATCGGCCACCAGTGAGGACTGTGGCTTCCTCCATGGGCACAAAGGTGAGGACACAATGGACATACCTCTGGATGCTGATTTTTGAACGCACTGCACTTTTTTTTTTCCTGTTCATGTCTTGTCCAGCCCACTGCCCTCTATGTACAGACTCAAGTCCTTTCTAGCACACCCTAGGCACCTGAACCCCAAAGAACAAAGATGGGGGTAAAAGAGCACAAGAATAAAGAGCTCAGTCTTTGGTTTCAGACATTCCACTCTCCTAGCATGAGCTGTACAGTGCTGGGCCAGCCATGTGGCCTTTCTGGGCCTTGTTCTCCTCACTTGGAGAGTGGCCACCAGTCAGATCTCACCTCAGAGTGGCACAGTGAGGTCCCAGTAGGGGCCTACGATGTGGGTTCTGACACGCAGAAAGGTCACGGACCAGGGTGAGAACTGTGATCACCTGCTGGTGCTGTCCCCGTCCTTCAGTGGATTAGAGATGTCCTCACACGCTGTCAGGAGAGCGGCTGCCAGGCATACGCAGTAGGCGGCGCTGGAGCCCAAGCCCGCCCCAGGGGGCAGTTCCGACCACACGGTAATGTCCAGGCTCAGCAGGGCCCTGAAACACATCAGGGTGCAAAGTGTGACTCGCTTGAAGGACAGAGAGTACTGGGTTGAAGTCAGGGCTGGGGACCAGGACTGGACATTGGCCAGGACTAACACGGAGACCTCATCTCCCAAGCCAACCCATGGGACAGCAAGGCCCTATGATCAATCAGGGCCCGAGGCAGGTACTAGATCCATTTGAATAAAACATGAGAAAAGGTCTGGGGGGTGTAGTTCAGGGTGAAGGTCCTGAGTCAATCCCCAGTATCAAAAAGCAAAATAGAAGAACAACAAAATCAGACACGGATCAGGGTGAGAGCAGTTACAGTGTTGGGGCTATCTTCTATATATTTCTAATCCCCCTTTTCTGAGAAAATTGTCAATAATAGTAAGAGCTATGTGCCAGTCTCTTGGCCCTACCATCAGCCTCATCACAGCTCTATTAAGTGGGTGCTGTCACAAGGAAACTGAGGCTGAGAGAAGGCAAGCACCATCAAGGAGCGACCTAGAGAGGCTAAACCAGTGTGGCTTCCCTATGCAACCCGGTGACACTGCCTTGACAGTGCTGTCACCCGCTGGTGCACATCAGCATTCACAGATCTTGTCAGAAAGCGAGAGGAACAACAGTTCCCTAGAACAGCAGCCAAGCCCTGGAAGAGGCTACACCATGAGCCCAGGAGTAGAAATGCCTTGGGCTCTAGTGCAAAGAGAGCGCGGGAGGGAGTAGGGATACATGTGTCAGTGTGGGTGTTAGAGCACGCAGACTACTATCCTAGTCTTGCCCTCACTAGCGAGCTGAACAGCCTTAGGCCCTGGGTGAAAGGAAGCAATGCCTCTGAGTTCTGGGACTGCCACCAAGTGCCTTCTACAGCATGTCTGGCAGGGTGCTGAGGACCCATGCTGAGGACAGTCAAGGGCTATGTCTCTAGAGACAGAGGAGGCAGCACTCCCTGGAGACTCAGCAAGAGGCTCATGCATCCTCCAGCTTGCCCCAGCTCTCCGGGGAGCTGAAGCAGGATCCCTTCGTAGACCCCATACCTCTGCTTCCGGCAGATGCCCAGGTATAAGTACAGGAAGGCCAGCACAGCCAGGTGCTCAGGCCCGGCACAGTTCCTGGGCATCCCGTCCACTTCCTTCAGCTTCTCCAGCTGCTCTGGGGTGGGCGCTGGGACATCACCTTGTTCTGTCACAACACAAGCAAACACAGGTGGGTAAGAGGGTCTCGGGTGCTTTTATAAACAGAGTATAAAGAAAGCCAGGCACCAATGGGATCAGAATGGGGGAGCACATGAATTTAGGGTCCAAAGGCTACAGCCACATTGATCTGCTGGGAGTGGGCAGACTTGGGTCTGGGTCTTGAGGCCATTCACTGGCCTCCAGCCTGTAACTTGCTCTCTCTGAACCTCAGTTTCCCTCCTTGGTAAAATGAGACAATTTACAGCACCTCTTCACAGGGTTGCTGTGAAGACACAGTTAAGTGAGTGGATCTCTCAGCATACCTCCTAGCACACAGGACGCATTTAATAACCAGTAGTTTAAACACACACACTTGCGTGCCCACGGAGCACATGCTAGGTCAGCCACTCAAAAGCTGGGCTTTCACCATCCGCCGTACAAAACCAAAAATCAAAAGCAGCACTACATTATGCCTGAGACACTCTGAAGGCTCAGAAGATAATTAGCAGGAATGGGAACTCCATAAAAACACTGCATGCGAGATGCTGCCTGGGCAGGAGCAGAAGGTGAGGTAGCAGGTTTGTGACATGTTGGGGCCTGGACTTCTTTGCTCTGGGACGCTAAGGAGGCTGAGCAAGTCTGACCAGCTCATGTTTAGATGTCACCCCAACAGCCTCAGGTCAGGTTCTACAGGTACATGAGTTGGAGCTGGGTGCACCTGTATCGGGACACTTTGAGGCACCCATTTGGTGCTCAGCAAATATGAGCTGGGTGCATCCCCGGCATGTTTAATCCAGCCAGGCTGGTGACACCACAGAGCTCTGCAATACATGTGCCATCGGCTACAGGAACCAGAGACTTGGCCTCTCTGTCACGGACATGCTGTGGGGCCTGAGCCCCTGGACCATGGAGTCTTGACTTTCCCATCCATAAATGGGGTGAATAACATCACCTACTTGCAGGAAAGGCTGGAGAACTCTAAGGACGCTAACAGGTGGCCACACCTCACACAGCACCTGCACACGCAGAAATGTCAATGACAGCTCAATGTAGTTACTGCCCTGGGGAGGGCAAACAAAAGCAGATCCTTGTAACCTAGCAAACACCGGGTCTCAAAAGGCTGTGATTAAAAATTAAAAAAAAAAAAAAACAAAAAACAAGGCTGTGATTCCTTTTGTGTCCTACATGAGGTGGGTAATCAAGCCCTCCTGTATTTACTGGGCTTGGTATCTCAGCCCTGCCCTCACCTCCGGTCCTGCTGGATCCTGAAAACATCACTCAGCCAGGCAACATGAGCCCACCTGCGGGGGCGCAGTGGTTGAAGCGACCTGCCCTGGCTCACCTGGGGATCAGAGGGACAGAGACAGGTGTCAGCATACCTGGCTGCTCTGGGTGCATGTGGGGAACCTATAAAAGCAGCAGCCGGTCCTCAAGGAACATGGCTGGGTGGCCCCAGGTACCACAGAAAGCAAGTCCCAGCTGCTCTGGCTGGCCACTTTTTGAAACATGCTCCAAAGACTCTAACTGATGGGTTAACCCAGGTAACACACCCAGCCCTACCACCACTGCAGGTCTCCAGCAAGGGGGCGGGGCCAGGAATCCACCTGCAGTAGCAACCCAGCAGCAGCCTCCCTGAGGGAGCCCCAGATGTGTAGCACATGACACAAAGAGTTGCTGAAGTGAGACCCTGAACACCCTGTAGACCCTTTCCTAAAATACAAAAAAAAAAAAAAAAGTCACAAGAATAAGAAAAAAAAATGTTACAGGTCTGTCCTGTTACAATTCTGTATATGGTTAGATTTCTAAATTTCTTTGTAAAATTATGTAAATGCTTATTTCTACCTTTATAAAATTATTTTTCCTACATATTCTGTAAGGTCTTAAAGTTTAACATACCAATATTTGATGGAAAATACCTGTTCCATGATATGCCAAAGATGTTTGATATTTAGACAGGGTAAACCAAGCTGCATATATTGCAGGTTAATAATAAGCTTCTCTTCTGGAGGGTTAACAACTTAAGTTAGCAGTCCAAAATTGGAGAAAAGGAAGGGCTGCAAGGTCAGCCAACATTTTGGCCCTAGCCTTTCAAGGTCAGCAAAGACTCGGGACATAGGAGAACCTGTACTGTAACAACAAGTAACTCAGTTGTGCTCCAAATTTTCTGATCAAGAAGATATCATGGAGCCACAGAGGAATGTGATCGATGATGTATAGTGTGCCTAGGGAGAGTCATGTGGAGAGAAAAAACATTCTCTCAGGCTTTCACAGAGAACAAATTGGCAAGCAATGGCCATAACTCATCCTCATGGCTGACACTGACAAAGGATCTACAAAGTGCAGTATAGGGCTACAGGATAAATCCTGAGGGTGCTTGACTGACCATATGAGATACAAAAGTTACATTTCTTGCTATATAGGTCTTGCTTTATCTTGGTTTTAATCACCCGGAAGAAAAGTATAAAAACGAGGTATATAAAGTAAAGCCATATTAATATGATGAGCTGTAAAAGGCTCAAGTCAATAACTTCTGAGGATAACCCACTAATATTATAGACTGCTAGACAGTGTTGGATTGTTTAGCTGAATTCAAACACCTTAGTATTTAGATGTCAATAGAATATTCACCTCTGACAGGACTAAACATAAAAAAAGGTGATACAAAGGAAAGATCATTTTGTATTTATATATACAAAATAGTTAGGATAGATATACAGCTACTTTTGCTTAATTAAATGAGAAGAAAGAGGTATACTAATAGTGTTTGGACAGGATATCCTGTCTGCTTCTTGTACTATGGATAACCGCTAAGAAGATAACAATGTATTGATTATCGAAACTGTCCTATTTTTCAGCTTTAAAACTGTCTCATTCATATGTATTTCTCAATAAAATAAAAATTAAAAAAGAAAAGTTGTGGAAATGAGGTTTGGTTTCTTTGTGTGTGACGCCAGGGTTGATCCCAGCACTCTACCACTGAGCTACGGGCCCCATCTGCAACTTTCAGCTCTGGCTCCAGCTTCAATTGGAGTGGCTACAGCTCCTCATGGAGAGCGGGGTTCGGGTGCAGTCTGGAAGAAACTGCTAGAGGATGTTGCTGAGAAACACTGGTGCCAACGTCATGATGTCAGTCCCAAGAGGAAAGAGCAGACGGAACAAAAACTAACTCGAGCTCCAGGGCTGATGAAGATAGACCACTGGCTCATGGGTGGCTGCAGGCTTCCCCATGCCACCGGCACAGAAGGAAAGTTCTGATACACTGAAGGCAAAAATACCTCTCCTTTTCTGAATAGTGGAGGAGGCCTGACCCAATTTTGGTTAAAACAAAAAACAAAAAGCAAAAAACCAAAAACCAAGAGATTGCCCTATCTCAATCAATCTAGCTATCCATTTACAGAAAACAATCCAGGAGAATTAATACCAAAAGCCTTAGAGTCACACTGGGAAAGGACGGAAAGAGCAACCAGTGACTTTTTTGTTATAATGTCCCACGGCTGACTGTATTTTCCAGTAATAACCATAAATTATTATGAAAAATTATTATGATGATGATTATGGGAATGGAACTCAAGGCTTTACATGTTAACGACACATTGTACACTGTTACACCCTCAGCCTTATTTTTAATGATACGAAACACCAAGGCATTCCTTCTCTTTGTTAAAAGTGACAATGAGAAGGTGGTGGTAGGCAGGCCTTATGCTCAGCCCCCAGCCCCAGGACTTTCCCAGAGGGAATGATCACCAGTGTCACTCTGATATCTATGCCCGAGACCTTCCTCTGCACTTTGGCACACAGATTTATAAGTAAGTACACACTTATGCTGTTTCTCAACTTGTGTTTTTTCACTGAACAACAGGACTTGCTGATCTGTCCAAAACAGCCCATGGAGATCTTGGACATGGTTTTATAGTCTTAAATTAAATGATAATTTAAATGTCATGATGAATGAGGTGAATTTTATGTGGTCATGATAGAAAACACACAGAGAGAGAGAGAGAGAGGAGAGAGAGAGAGAGAGAGAGAGAGAGAGAGAGAGAGAAAACTCCCTGGAGTGGCTGACTTCTGGGTTGCTTGGAGACAGTCTGGAATAACTAGTCAGCTGCTTCAGGAGCCAGACTCTAACCACACTTGGTTTTCCCTCCTAGCATTTACCTAGAAAGTTTGTGTCCAGCAGCTGGAGGTTGGCCACATCCCAGGTCAGCTTGGTACCAATGTTTGGCAAGTTCAGGGTCACTTTCCCATTGCTGTGGGGTTGAAGCCTGAGGAATGTTCTCAAGTTCAAAGCCACTGCCAGCGCTACCTATAGGATAAAGGGGGAAAGCAGTAAGCTAAGGGTGGGTGGCAAGAGGGCCAGTGTCAACATGCTGAGAAATAAGGACAAACAATAGCATACTCTCCACTCTTACCCTTCCCTTAGCAGACATTGCTAATCAAATAGCATACTTACCTCTCTTACCCTTGCCCTTAGCAGACACTGCTAATCAACCTGGGCTCACTCTCACTGAGCTTGGGCCACTACCACTCAATTAGGTATCTATGTGTATCTGCCTTCTCCTGAACTTCAGAGCTTCTCAACACTACAGAATTGCTTTCCCATAAGCACTACATTTTCAAACAGAAACATAAGTTTAAAATATAATTTAAAGGCATAAAAAATAGCAAGTGGAGTGCAGGAGTGAAAAAAAAGGAATGGACTTTGGATTCACTCTCAGCTCTACCAAGGTACAGAGAAATTGGTCAAGTTGACCAACTCTTTCCAAAGCTTCAGCTTCTGTATCTGTAAAATATAATACAAAAAAGTTCCTTAGGGGAAGCTATAAGGATTAAATGAGATAATTCACGTTTCTAACTCTTGCTAGATCATTTTTACAACTTCTAAGCAATATAGCACCCCAAAGCTCAATCTTCCAACCTCTTTTTCTTGCCACCAAAGCTCATTCTCTAGGTGTTTTCATTCCACTTGCAAGACTTTCTCTTTTTGCCACCCCACTGAGAGAAGCCAGAGATCCTCTCTGATCTGCTCCCAGGCTATGCCTGAGCCTCAAGGTTTCCCTTTTATCTTCCAATCTCCAATGGTCCGGGCCTTTATACCTTGCCATGGACCACAGCATGTTCCCCATGGAGGATGACTTTCCCTGGAGCTGACACCACCAGCGCTCCTGACAACATGGCTCCGCGGAATCCTAAAAGGGAGAAAAGAACAAACGTCCTTAGATGTTAGAACCAGAAGGAAGAGATATTTGAGGCAGCCCAGTGCAGGCCTGTCATTATAACAAGAACCCAGCTGTGGTGGGCGCACATGTGATCCCAGAATTTGGGAGGCTGAGGCAGGGCGGCAACACCACCCTGGACTACACAGTGAAACCCTTCACCAAAATCAACAACAGCAACAAGTGGCAGCTTCCATTCAACACTAGCCATGAACCAGAAAGACAGCACAGTGTACCAGTCAACTGGACAAGAAAGAAAGATCCGGGTTGGAATCTTAGGCCTTCCGCTCTATAGTGATGTCATCTTAGCCAACTCACTTAGATGGCTATGAGCCTAGGTTTCCCCACACATTACACTGAGACAATAATGAAACCTACTTTAATGGCTTGCTAGGAAGGTTAAATCAGTGCAAGAGAAACCCTTAGCAGTGTCTGGCACACTGATCACTCAATTAGTAACAGTTACTCATTATTAGCTGTGTTCTTGGCTTCAGCTCTTACTACTACTATTATTGAAGGTTAAAATTTACATGAGAGCTGGGGGTGTAGCTTAGTGATGGTGCGCTTGCTTAGCGTGAGCAGGCCATGTCTTTGATCCCCAGCAGCATAGAGGCACAGAAAGAAAGAGGGGCGGGGGAGGAAGGGAAGAAACGCAGCGAAGAGAGGCAGATTTCCAAGGGCCAGACAAAACTCTTTGCTGCTTCCTACGTATGATAATTACAAACAAGCCTGCAGAAAACACCTGTTACGCCCCATTCTGCACACTTAAGCGATGATCACTAGATGACAGCATCCTAGAAAGTGCCTTGCTAGGTGGGAAACAATCAGAGAAGCTGAGAGCCCGGCGTGGGGTCGTCCTGGGTCTCGGATCTCGCTCCACCCAGTCGCACGACTCCAGCCTCTCACCTGCCGCCGCCACAGCCCTGTGCGCTAGATCCGGAGCGGCTCCTATACTCCTCCATCCCACAGCGCCAGCCGCTGGAGGTGGCCCTTCTTTCCGTCCAGCCAATCAGAGGGCGCAGGCTCCTCTTTTACTAACTGGCTTTTACTAAGTCTATAGGTGTCGAGCGTCAAACCGTCAAGGATTTTTCCCGCCCCACCTCTCCTTTCATCCAATAGAAAACAAGTTCCTGGGAGTATCCCGCCCTGGTGCGAGGACCACGGACCAATGGGAAATGGCGGTTTGGCGGTGGTGCGGCCGGCTATGGGCGGAGTCAGCCGAGGTCTGGACGGTAGCCTGGAGAAGTCAACCCGAAACGAGACGCGTTCCCCCCCCCCCCCCCCGCCAAGCTCATGGCTATGTGGGTCGTGGGAGGCCGTTTCGGCCTCCGCGGGTGTTTTGTCACATACAGGCTGCTTTGTTCCCGTTTCCAGAGCCGCGGCTGTCAGGACGTAGAAGACAAGGACAGGTAGGTGGCTGAGAGAGGAGCCCGATCGCCTGCCGTGAATCACGTGGTGTTGTCGCCAGGGTACGTCATCCTGGTGACGTTCCCTCGCCCTTGACGTCACCGTGGGCTTCTTGTAAACCAGAGACCCGGTTGGCTTTGCGCAAGGCCTGTGGAATCCAAGCTGTCATCAGTCAGGGCAGGGCATACATGATCCCACGCAGGCCAGGAGGATCGTCCTTCAGATTTTGACATGAGTAGTTTGTTCTCAAAGACATTGAGACACAAATATGTTCTAAACATGGCTTTCCTCAAAGTATATATGGCTTTACTTTCAAACTTGCACCCTGACTCCCAGACCTCAGAACCTGTAGAGTAACACGAATTCACAATGATTAATGGAGCTGCTAGGTCCAGTGATTTAATCTTTTACTTTGGAAAGTCACGTTTTAAAATCTGACCTGTATATGTAAGTAATACTGCTATTTGATAATGCCTCCCCCTCTCCAGGCTGTAGCTGAGTGGTAGAGCATTTGCCCAGCATGTGAAAAGCCCTGGGTTCGATCCCCACCATCACAAAACTTTAAACTTCCAGGGGTGGGGGTGAGGGTGGTGGGTGGTGATGGCCAGTTTTCAAACCTTGTTTTAGCAGTTCATTTCTGAACATACATGAAGCCTTAAAGAATGGAAGTAGTCTAGTTTTATTTTCCTCCAGAGGCCTTATTTTGGTCGTTAAAGGAAGTATTGAGAAAGTAGACGTAACATTTGGGGTGCTGGGTAGGATACTCTTGGGCATGAGCCCTAGCTTTGCCTCTTCCTTCTTGGGTGACGGGAAGATAAATCTTAACTTTGTGCTATTTTCCTCAATAGAAAAATGAAGGTAAGAGGTAGTGTGTACCTTTGGGGTCGTGGGAAGAATCCAGGAATACTTTGAGAGATGATGCCTGTTATCCACCATGACCTAGGAGCTACTAAGAGTGAGCAGTCAATTCAGGAAATACACATTAAACGTCTACATTTAGCAGTGTGCTAATCAGCTATGGCAGGTGGAGATATGGACAAGACACAGAGCTTGCCCACAAAAGGCTTGCAGTTAGAGGAGATGGAGGGCATATATGTCATTAGGAGGGTGCCATCCTCGTGGGGGGTAAGTGCTACCCCTGGGTGCTAACAGTAAGCTGGGGCCCTGGGCGAAGGTGCCCCTCTGTGTGAGTCATTCCCACTTACCAGGTCTTGGTGTCTGTTTCTCATTAGGATACAGCCTTCCTCGAAGACACACAAGATTCCCAAGATTTACACCAAAACAGGAGACAAAGGTAGGGTAGGAACACAGGTGGAAAAGGTATATGACAGACATTGCTTTAAAGTTCTTCCAACTTCTCTAGAGCCAATAAAAAGTATGTCACAGATCTGAAGATATATTACAAAAATGTGATATGAAATGAAAAATGCAGGAGATGGCTCAGTAGAATAAGCGCTTGCCTGGTAAGCGTAAGGGCCTGAGTTCAATCCCCAGTTCCCCCCCCCAAAAAAAAAAGAAGAAGAAGGAGGAG